TCGGTTGTCACCGCCGACAGCGCCGTCTTTACCTGGGGCGAGGGCGAAGACGCCTGCCTAGGCCACGGAGAGGACGAGTCGAACCAGCTGCTGCCGAAGAAGATCGAGACGTGGGCGCCGGGGCAGTGATGAGAAGGGCGAAAGGCGCCCAAACATGGCTTCGTTTTTCTTGTTCTCGCGATGTCCACCCCGCGCCGCCGCTCGCGCCGCCTCGCCGCCTCCGCCGCCGCCGCTCCCTCGCCAAGCACGCCGCCGCCCGCCCGCCTCCTCTTGTCCTCTGTCCTCAACGCCCCTCATGCTGGGACACGGGTGTGTGGACTGTGTGTGTGTCTCGCGCACAAACTAGTACGGCTTAGCCTAAAGTTTTGGTTTAAAGGCTTTACACCAACATCGGTTCATCGGCACGGTTAGAAAAGAAAGTGTTGGCCACCGGGCGCTCGCGATGACCGATGTGACGGTAAAGTTTGGCACCAGGGCAAAGGGCGCGTCTGGCCCGCAGCTCGCCGGCGACGTGGGCGGCGTGGCGAGGGCTTGCGGCGAAGCAGGCGCGGGGGAGGAGGGGGATCGAGGCGAGGAGGGCGGCTTCGGCACGAGCGCGGCGGGCGACGCGGTTGAAGAAGTTGACGACCCACAGGCTGGTGGCAGAGCCAACTTCCGGCTCGGCCGCCGCCCCGGGAGGCGGAGGCGTGCCATCCGCGGTGACGCGCTCGGGCTGCTCCTAGCGGAGCCCTGCCCGCTTCCGCTCGACTCGCTCACTGCTCGGGTGGTCGCTCCATCGCTCCGGTCGTCAAGGATGAGCGCATCTGCGGGTGGCTGCGGCCGCTTCTTAGGGTGGTGTAAGAGGGTGCGTTTGCTCCAGTGTGATGGACCGTCCGTCACGGTTGGAGATTTTAGGGGTCGTGGAGTGTGCCACACACTGTTGTGTGGTGTTTTTGCCGAAGAGGGGGCGCGTAGCCCGTAGAGCCGGGCGGGCGGGTGCGTCCCGCACCCCGCCGAGGCGCGGAGCCCAGGCGCTCCGCCTCCTCACGCTCTTGCGCGAGCTGTCCGCGAGATATGGGGAGATGTGGGGAGATGCGGGGAGGTATGGGGAGATTCTGTATGGGGAGATACGCACTTGCGCGAGCTGTCCGCGAGATATGGGAGATGCGGGGCGACACGGGGAGGTATGGGGAGATTCTGTATGGGGAGATACGCACTTGCGCGAGCTGTCTGCGAGATATGGGAGATGCGGGGAGATGCGGGGAGGTATGGGGAGATTCTGTATGGGGAGATGCGCACTTGCGCGAGCTGTCTGCGAGCCGCCGCGCCGCCGCCTCTAGGCCGGCGCTGCGGAGGAGGATAGCACTGGCGCCATGCTCCGACGGCTGCGCGCGGCGAGCGATTCGCTGCTTGAACCACCGACGACGCACGGGGCGGCGGCGGCGGCGGCGCGTGGGGGGGAGACGCTCGGGACGCTGCTCGGCAGGTCCTCGAGGTCGGCCGGTGGCGCCGTCGACGCTGAGGAGGTGGCGGAGGCGTTCGACGCGCTCCGTCGAGCCTCTGCCGACCATCGCGCCGCCGCGACGGCGGCACCTGCGGACGGCGCCGCGGTTGCCCAGCGCCTTCTGCACGCCGGAGCGATGGCGAGCGTGCTCGACGTCTTGTCGGCGCTACTGCGGACGCCACCCTCGCTGCCGCCGCCGCCGCCGCCGCCGCCCTCGCTGCCGCCAGAGCTGCGGGCGATCGTGGCGGCCGCCGCTCTGAGCGAGGAGCTCCTCTTCCGCACGAGCGGGCCCGCGCTGCCGGAGGGGTCGCACGCGGCCTCCTCCGTCGAGCGCTTGCCGCGAGGAGGCGAGGGGGGCGGAGGCGAGGGGGGCGGAGGCGAGGGGGGAGGAGGCGAGGGGGGAGGAGGCGCAGGCGGCCGCAGCTTACTCGCCGCCCTCGCCGGGGTGCTCGCCCGGGGCGTGGCCTTGCCCGCGGAGGCGCCAGGAGGCGTGAGCAGCGTCTCTTCTCACCGCGGCCTGTGAACAGGTGACGTGCCCGTTGAGGCGCACGCCGCGGGCGCCGGCGCCCTGCAGCATCTACTCACCCGCGGCGAGGAGCACGCGCGGCTCGTGAGGCTGCCGCCGCGCGCGTGCGCCGCCCCCCTCGTCGCCGCGCTGGCGTCGGGCGACCTGACAGTGCGCCGCCGCGCCGCGGGCGCCGTGTGCAACGCGAGCGCGGACGACGACGCGCTTGACCTGCTCGTCGAGTGCGGCGCGGCAGGGGCGCTCGCGTTGCACCTCCTCCCGAGCGGCGGCGCCGCTTGTGCCTCCGCCGCCGCCGCCGCCTCCTCGCCGGCGGAGCAGGCGGCGCGGCACGCCTCGCTGCGGGCGCTCGAGAGGCTGTGCCGTGTGTCTGCGACGGCGCGCGAGCAGGCGGCGGCCGCGATGCCCGAGGCGGCGCCTCTCCTCTCTCAGCTGGCGGCGCTGCTGCAGACGAGCGGCCACGCCCCCACGCGCGCGCTCGCCTCGCGTACGGTCGCGTCGCTCTCGCGCTCCGAGTCGCGCCACTGGAGGCCAGCGGCTGAGCGGCCGCCGCCGCGCGCGTGGCCGCCCTCCTCCCTCGTGTACTACACGGGCGTCGCGCTCGAGCCGTGGGGCCCCGAGCGGCTCGAGACCGGGCTGGGCGGCTCCGAGACGGCGGTGCTGCAGCTCGCCTCGCGCTGGAAGGCGATGGAGCCCGACCGGGAGGTGGCCGTGTACTTGCGCATGGGCGCGCCCGCCGATGGCGCCGCGGGGGCGGCGGCGGCGGCGGCGGCGGCGACGGAGCGCGAGTGGCGCGGCGTGCGGCTCGTGGACGTGGCGGCCTTCAACCCGTCCGACAGCTTCGGCACGTTCATCGCGTGGCGCTCGCTCGAGCTGCTGGACGAGCCCCTCGACGCGCGGCTAGTGCTGCTCGATCTGCACGACATGCCGCGGCGGCGCGACATGTCGCCGCGCCGCCTCGCGCGCGTGGACCGCCTCATGTGCAAGAGCGAGTTCCAGCGCGGCGTCCTGCCGCCCGTCGCCTCGGGTACGCCCGCCTGCGTCCTCCCCAACGGCGTCGACGAGGAGCTGGTCGCCAGAGTCAAGGCCGAGGTATGGGGAGAGACGGGGAGAGACGGGGAGATGCGGGGAGATATGGTCGCCAGAGTCAAGGCCGAGCGGCGGCAGCCCGCGGCGCCAGCGGCCGAGGCCGACGCCGGCGCGCCCCGCCCCGCCGCGCCGCGGCTGGTGTACACGTCGTCGTACGACCGCGGCCTCGAGCACATGCTGCGCCACGGCTGGCCGGCGCTGCTGGCGCGCGTGCCCGACGCGACGCTGCACGTGTACTACGGCTGGCGCACGCACGAGCTGCTCCACCCAGCCTCGGCGTGGCGCGACGGCATGAAGGCGCTCCTCGCGAGCTTTGGGCCGAGCGTGGTCGACCACGGCCGCGTCGGGCAGCTGGAGCTGCTGCGCGCCAAGGCGCGCGCGCAGCTCCTCTACTATGTGGGCGACTGGCCCGAGATCGACTGCATCGCCGTGCGCGAGGCCGCGATGCTCGGCTGCGTGCCGCTCACCTCGAGCGTCGCCGTCTTCTCCGACCCGAGCAAGGACTACGTCCTCCGCGTCGAGGGCGACCCGACGGAGCCGAGCACGCAGCGCGCGGCGGCGGCCAGGGCGGCCGAGATCCTGCTCGAGTGGAAGGCCCGCGGCGCGCTGCCGTCCGTCGACACGCCGACGCTGCGCTCCGAGACGTGGGCGGCCGTCGCGAGGCGCTGGCTCGACGTCGTGGCGGCAGACGTGTCCGCACGAGCAAGTGATGACTCTGATGTAGAGTGATACCTGTGATACGGTGCACCACGGGCAAACAAGAACCTACACCTCTCCCCCCCGTCTTCTGCGCCCTCACGAGAGGAGAGGGTCCTCGATCTAATCCATAGTCGGTTGCGGTCGCTGCCCTCCGTCAGGGGCGGGGAACCCGCAATTTGAGACGAGGGCATTTTGAGTTGCAAAAATCGTTTTGCATTTTTTTCTGAGATTAGAAATCGTATCGCGTATCGGGCAATTTCAGATGCCTCGGCATCTCAAATTGCGGGTTCCCGCCGCCCCTGACGCTCCTCGTGCCTTTGCCCAGCATTCCGGCGGTCGATGTGCCGTCTGTGCGCTCCGACTCGAACATAACCTACCGACTCACAAACATAGTCTAGCCTAGACCGGACGCGGAACCATCCACATCATCACTGGCTCGCGGCAGTAAGGGCACTCTTGCATCAGCTCAGAGCATGGCCCGCAAGCGCACAAGTGCCCGCACGGAACCGCAGCATGCGACTTGACTCTCGCGAAACACACGATGCACGTGGTCTCTCCCCCCATCGTGGACTCGGGGGCAGCTGGCCGCCCCGTGTCGAGGCCGGCGTCGGCTAGTGAGACGGTAGCAAGCGGCTCGGTGACTGGCAGATGCTGCTCCGCCGCCTCCCCCGCCTCTGGCTCGATCAAGCGCTCGATGGCGCCGACCCGCTCCTCGAGGCTGCCCTCGGTCGCCGCGCCGAGGCTCGCCTCCAGCCGCTCGACACGCCGCGGCAAGTCCCCGCCGCCGCCGGTCGACTCGCTGCTCACCGCCTCCTCGCACCGCGACACCCGACGCGCCAGCGCCTCCTCCTCCGCATCCGCCTCTGACCGGCGCAGCGCCTCTGCCAGCTCCGCATCCTCGCGCAGCGCCGCCTGCTCTGCCGCACCCGCTAGCTCTGCCGCCTCCCGCTCCGCCCGCTTCGCCGACTCCTGCTCAGCAGCCAGCTGCGCCGCCCTCTCCTCCTGTGCGCGAACCTCTGCTGCAGCCTTCACCCTCCGCTCCTCCTCGAGCGCGAAAGCAGACGGCGCCTTCTTGGCCTTATTGTTCTTCGCCTTGGCCTCCTTCTTGGCCGCCGTTGCCTCCGCCGCCTTTGCGCGCCGCCTCGCCTTCTCCTCCTCCGCCCGCCTATCCGCAGCCTCCTTGTCGCGCCGCGCCGCCTCTGCCTGAGCGGCTTTGCGCGCCGCCGCGGCCGCCCGCTGCTCCTCTCGCTGCGCCTCCTCAGCCGCAAGCCTCTCCGCCTCCCTCGCCCGCAGTGTCGCCTCTGCTGCCGCACGCTCAGCGGCCAGCTTTGCCTCCGCCTCCGCCGCAATGGCTCGCCTCTGCTCCTCCAGCGCCGCCGCGTCCGCTGCCCGGCGCGCCTCGTCCTCCGCTCGCTCTGCTTCGCGCTGTCGTGCCGCCTGTTCGCGCTCTCGCGCCGCCGCCGCCGCCTCCCGCTCGCGCTGCTCGCGCCGCCCCTTGGCCTCGAGCGCCTTCTCCGCCGCCTTCTCCGCCGCCTCCGCCTCCCTCAGCGCCGCTGCGTGCTCTGTGAGAGCGCGCACGCACCCGGCGTGGTCCGCTTCAGGAGCACTGGCGGCGTCGGAAGTAGCTAGCACCTTGGCCGCCCCCTCCTTGGCGATCTGCAGCGCGGACCTGCCGTCTGCAGAGCGAGCCTTTGCATTCGCGCCAGCACGAAGCAGGCGGAGCACGACGGCGGTGTGGCCGCTGTAGGCGGCGCCCATCAGCGCGGTGTAGCCTTTGCTGTCCTGCACGTTGACCTCTGCGCCGTGCTGCATCAGCGTGTCGACCACCCGCTCGTGGCCTTTGGTGGCGGCGAGCATCAGGGCGGTGTTGCCGATGCTGCTCTGCAGGTTGGTCTCAGCACCGTGCCGTATCAGCAGGTCGACCACCCGCTCGTGGCCGTGGTTGGCGGCGGCCATCAGCGCGGTGGCGCCGCCGCTGTCCTGCAGGTTGACCTCAGCGCAGCGCCGCAGCAGCAGCTCGACCACCCGCTCGTGGCCGTTGTGGGCGGCGAGACAGCGCGGTGCCGCCGAGGCTGTTCCGCTGGTTGATCCCCGCCCCGTGCCGCAGCATCAACTCGACCACCCGCTCGTGGCCATGCTGGGCGGCGCTCATCAGCGCGGTGCCGCCGTCGCTCCTCTGCAGGCTGATCTCAGCGCCGTGCTGCATCAGCAGCTCGACCAGCCGCTCGTGACCGTTAATGGCGGCGTGCATCAGCGCGGTGATGCCGATGCTGTCCTGCAGGTTGACCTCCGCGCCGTGCTGCTGCAGCAGCTCGACCACCCGCTCGTGGCCTCTGTCGGCGGCGCCCATCAGCGCAGTGCTGCCGTTGCTACTCTGCAGGTTGACCTCTGCGCCGTGCTGCAGCAGCAGCTCGACCACCCGCTTGTGGCCTTCCTGGGCGGCGTGCATCAGCGCGGTGCCGCCGAGGCTGTCCTGCAGGTTGACCTCAGCGCCGCGCCGTATCAGCAGCTCGACCACCCGCTTGTGGCCGTGGTAGGCGGCGTTCATCAGCGCAATTTCGCCGTTGCTGTTCTGCTGGTTGATCTTCGCCCCGTGCCGCAGCAGCAACTCGACCACCCGCTCGTGGCCATTGCGGGCGGCGCCCATCAGCAGCGTGAGGCCGCTCACGCCGTCTCTCTCGTACGTCGCGTCGGCCCGCCCGCCGCCTCTCTCGTACGTCGCGTCGGCCCGCCCCCCGCCCTCGAGCCACGCCAGCACTGCCACCTCCTCGCCACGCTCCGCCGCCAGCACGGCCGCGTCGGAGCAGCTCAGGGATCCTGCGCCGCTGCCAAGCTCGCGAGCACTCACCATGTTTGGACTCCAAATCCTCCAAGTTTGGGTTCCGGCTCTTTGGGGGGTAAGGTAAGGTATCGTAAGGTAAACGTCTCCACACACACAAAGTGGTGGGGCAAGGGGGGGCGACCCTCGCATCTCCACGCCCGGACACGGGCAGGAGCCCCACGGCATTCAAAGTGCAAGCACCGGCCCGGTGCCGCGCGGCTAAGCACAATGTGTGCTCGCATTGGATGAGCCCTGCTGATGGACCTGCGTCGCCTTAGCTGCACGAGAGCAATGCCGCAGGCGGCGGCCGTGGCATACACTGCGAGCACACTCGGTGCAGCTGCAAGGTGCAGCAAGAGCACGTCGTTCCTGCCTCTGATGCCACTCTCGCGGCTTGTAGCGCGTCACTCGCGCATGCTCTCCAGGAGCTATGGCGGGCGCGTGTGTGGGGCTGTAGCCTGTGTTTGGCCGGTTCTGACCCGTTTACTATCAGTACCATGCCTGGGCCACAATAATCGCACACGGGGAGCGGCTCAGGGACCCAGTAAGCCGCGGAATCGCCAAATGTCACAACCCGGCTCACCCAGGGCTGGACCTAGTCCCTTAAGGTGTGTGGTGGAGACGTTTACCTTCGGCTTTCCTCCCCTCGTGGCGTCGGTGTCTTCCTTTCTTTTTGCACATCAACCCAGCTCCTAAAATTGGACTGACACTGAGATCTGTCATCTGAGTGCTCTACCTCTACGCTCTAGATCTTCCCACTGTAAGGCTGGTGCTGCATCGTAGGCTTGAATTCCGCAGCCTCGTCAAAGTCCGGGACCTCGTCCTCCGAGAGGACGAGGGTACCGCGGCGTTCAGAGGAGCGTCCCGCATGGACGCAAGCGAAATAGTAGCATAGCAACGTCGCGGCTGGCACGAGCAAGACAGAGATGAAGATAATAATCATCCACATCTTGGACGGCCAACGGACAATCCACGGCAACAACAGGAAGCCAGCGATGACATTGTAGGCAGGCACAAGCTCTACGTTCGTGGTGCCGTTGCTCGCGTCTGCCTGCGCTAGCGCCTCCGGCTGGCCTAGTTGCTCCAGTTGGCTCTGCTGACCCCAAGAGCTCTTTCCTCCCTCATCAATAGATTGCGCCGCCACGGGGACGGGTACTGTTGGTGAGGGCTGTGGCGGTATAGACTCGAGCATTGGCGGTGGAGGTGACGGTGGGGGAGGCGGCGGGGATGGCGGCGGAGGGGAGTTGGCTATCCGGCAGTCCTTGCGGACATACATCCCGTCCGCGTCGCAGTGGCTGAATTCAAAGATTGTCGGGTCATGTGTGCCGCACCGCCCATCGCCAGCACACCAGACCCCTGGCCGGAGGTTCGATTGGCATGGAGGTGACTCCCAGAACCGAAAAAACTCGTCCCAAGCCCCGCACCTTACGATCATGAGGCAGAAGCCACACGCCTCGCCGGCATCACACGTGGGAGGGCACGGGGGAGGAGCGAGAGCGGACATGCTCACTGGGATGTGGGAAGTTCACAGCTGAGCTTACCAGAGAAATCCGTTCTCACCCAATTCGGCTTCCTGCCCCTCGGGCGTCCAAATCGGGGGTTGTGGGGTAGGCAAGGCAGCGGAGGGGATGGCGCGGGGGTGAGGGCCGGCGAGGGCGAATCGCGAGCGTCCGTCCAAATTTATTAAAAAAAGAACCGATGAAACGGCCGGAACCCAACAGAGTTCCTCGAAAAAATCGACTGGAATTTCTTATTTGAGAGCGCCTTCGTAGGCAGTCCCACAGTCCCAGTCACGCTGCGAGGTAGAAGGTTCTTGGATCGAGGGTGACGAGACGAGTTTTCGCCATCGCAGCGAGCAGCAAAGTATTAGACCCATGCAACCGAGACCCCTCCCCACCGCCCCGACCCCCCCACCCCCTTGCTCCCCTCCCCCCCTCGGGAGGGCCGAACTGTGAGGCGCCCGTGGGGACCCCGCAATTCCCTTCCCCCCCTCGGAGGGCCGGACTGAGGCGTCGAGGGCCCCGCTCTTTCCCTCGCATAGCGGCCACTCTTCGGATCGCTGGTCGAGCGACCCGGGGGATGCCCCGCGCGCCTGACCCAGGCGCGAGAAACGAATCTGCGAGGCGTGGCCGCTCATGCGGCCCGATGGGGAGGAAGCTGGCGGACTACGGGGATCGGCTTCTTACACAGCCCTTCCCTGCAGCGAGCCTCCCTCCAACCCACCCGCGCTAGGTCTCGGGTGACGTAGGGGAAACCCGGCGAGCCTGGGGAACTAGATAAGGTATAGCCGGGGCAGTCGGAGAAGGGGCAACTCCGTGCACTGACGCTGACGGTCGGCCGTCAGAAAACACGCCTCCGTGGCTCGGGTTACACCAATCCTCGCTACCCAACGCGGCCAAAGGATATCCACCTCGAGAACCTCGAGAGCATGAGAGATGTAAAGCCGTATTTGCCGCGGGGCTCCGCAGGGGCCCCAAATGTGTGAGTGTAGAGTTGTGTTTGCTATTGCTTCTTCGAAGCTTTTGTACAAGGTCTGTAGTACACCGTACGAAAAAGGGCCGAGCTACACCTACAGGGAGATCTCCACCTCGTAGGGCGCCTCCGAGCCGGCCGTCAGCGTCTCCGACAGATCGTTCGAGTCGGTGGACGCCCGCCGCAGCAGCAACAGCTCTGGCTGACTTCCCCGCCGCTCCGCCACCTCGGCCCACAGGTCGACCCCCGTCCGCAAGTGGCCCGACGCGCTCAGCCATCCCTCAAAATCGACGCCGACGTCCTCCTCACCCGCCTCGGCGGCCGCCGCCGAGCCGCCGCCGCATCCTCCTCCTTCCCCACCGCCTCCACCTCCGCCGCCGCCGCCGCCTCCGCCTCCGCCGCCCTCGCCGCCGCCCTCGCCGCCGCCCTCGCCGCCCTCGCCGTCGCCCTCGCCGCCTGCGCCTCTGCCCCCTCCCGCGCCGCTCGCTCCGGCCGAGCCCGCGCCGGCGGGGGAGCGCGCCGCCGCCTCCTCGCTGCAGTGGACGAGGTCGAGGCCTCCTGGCGCCGCCTCACCCGGTTGCCGCAGCCGAAAGTGCGGCAGCAGCGGCAGCATCCCCTCGGGCGCGAAGTGCCAGCACAGGTCCAAAAAA